CCTGTTAAAAAACATTAAAAAAAAACATCTGCAAGGCGAAGTGTGGAAACAAGGTGTTTAGGTGAAATCACCTAGAAAAAACGTGTAGTCTCATCTAGCCCATCTGTGCTAACACAGCAACGTACACAACACAAAGAGACGGAACGGCCAAAAACAACGGAATACAGTCTCGCATTGCTGCGAAGAGAATAAGCAAGAAATGATTCGATTGCAGTACTAATTTAATACAGTAATTTATTAATTATTTATCAATTAGCACGTGGTGAGGTAGGGGCGGGCGACGAAGAAGACGTGCATGGTGAACAGGCCGTACTCCTTGAGCCACTCGGTCATGCAGGCGGGTGAGTTGGGGGCGATGGTCTGTAGGCAAAAGGAATGTGTTGGTTAGACGAGGGGCGGCGCGTCAAAAAACGAGGGTTCAAAATAATACGCGTATAGAATGTACGCGGGGGCACTGCAGGTCAGCAAGAAGCCGCGGAAATTCAACTAAGAGTCAGTATGAGAAATTGATTGTCAGCCCATATTTGTGGCGCACTTAGGCGTAAAATACGGATTTCGTGCGCAGAATGCGTATTAAATGGGCTAAAAATGTGGGACCTTTTAAACGACGCATTGTGATGCAAATTGGCGCTGCCACGGGAGGGAGTGTTTCATTGTAAAACACGAACCCAAAGAAGCACAGTTTTCGTCATTTTGGTGGCCTAAATTGTCGCTATCGTGGCACCACGCGATATCAAAAATGACACCAAAGCAGTCCACCAAGATGACCAAATCTGGACTCGGGCATAACTTTCTTCATTTTCACTTTGACATTTTGACGAAATCGTGTTGTCTGGGAAGGGTTCGGACACGAGGCTACAACCCTTTCTAACACCGGTCTGGGGCATTGATCTTTGCGATGTCACCTACTCACTGCCCGGTTGGTACGCACCCGGTACCCTCGCGGTACCCACTAAGTGTGTGAACTCACCTTGGCGGCGAGCGCAGGGGGGGCCTCGAACCATCCGCGGCCCTGGGAGGGCTTGCCGTACTGGGTGAAGCCGAAGCCGGTCAGCTTCTTGGACTTGGGCCCGTACAGGGTGAAGTAGGGGCGGTGGTTCTCGCACACGGACTCCTTGGTCAGGCTCTGGAAGTAGTGCTTGCCCATGCCGATGAAGCAGCTCTGCTCGTTGAAGCCGGCGGCCTCGGCGTCGCTCTGGTCGTTGCTGACGTGCAGGCGAGCGGTCTCGACGCCGTTGGTGTCGGTCTGCAGGATGTAGAGACCGTCAGGGGCGGTCAGGGTGTCTTCCTCGATGTCGCGGCCGCCGGCGTCGATGATCGCCTTGGACACGAAGAAGGCGGTGTTGGAGTACACCTCCTTGCTCTTAATCATGTTCCTGCGCCACTCGGGGATGGCCAGGACGTCGACGGGGGCGCCAGAGTTGTCCAGCTCCTTGGCCTCGACGGACAGCTGGATGCCGGCCACGCTGCCAGCCTTGTCGAAGAGCACGCAGACGCGGTGGTCTCCCTTGCGGCAGTAGAGGTCGGTGTTGTTGTCGGCGGGGTTGCGCTCAGAAGCCCAGTCGAAGTGGAGATCCTTGGCCTCTCGGAGGGTGCGGGGCATGGTGTAGAAGGCGAAGAGACCGAACACGTCGGGCACGACATTGTAGGTCACTGCGGGGGGAAGACAGATACACGTTTAATTCGCCCGGCCCGACCACAAGAATTACCACCAAACATCATGACAGCATAGAGTGGGAGAAACTCACCGATGAACTTGTTCTGGGTTTGTCCTTCAACTGCACAGGAAACACACGAAAAAGAACGACAACATGAGTCGCAATTTCAAAACCAAAATCAATAATTTTTTTCCATATTTTTGTTGGTATGCAGCTAAAATACTTACAACCAGCGAACGCGCTCCCGGAGAGGGCGACGACGGCCAAAGCCGCGACGAGTGTGAGACGGAGCATGGTGCTGCTGTTGTTGGAGAGCGAGAGGCTACTGGCCCTCAAGGAAGGTACCGCGTGCTTTTATAAGACCTGGGGGCCCGGGGGCCCGGGCCGCCCGCCCCCGCATGCGCCAGCCGGGGGAGAGAGGGGGGGAGGGGAAGCCTTATCGGAACGTCTCCTGATCAATAACACAAGTAGTGTAAGGCACTTGCTCGGAGTGTTCGCGACGGCACCTGTTGGCAGCAAGCACTACATCCAGACCGTTTAGTCCAGAGAACCAAATGTGGAAAACCTATTAAATTTTAGCTCTGCAAACCAAATTTTATCCCGACAATTGTTGATTTTTGTAAATTGAAATTTGGGCGGACTATGGGCGGAAACTTTTTGTATTATCTCGTGTCCACGAAGCATTCACGCCTTGGCGAGTGATAGGAGGCCGGCTACAAATTGCAAATAGACTGCATGGTGACAGGAGGCTCGACCAAACGCCACCACCGACCGACAGGCCAGACAGGCGTCGGCGCCGCCCCTTGCCAAAACGGCCCGCAATATTTGCACACTTTTCTTCTGTATCCGCGTAACGCACTGAGAAAAGCGATTTTTCCAAATAACTACAAAAGTGTTGAGTCAATTATAATTTTTGCGGTGCACTGGTAACGCAAGTGTGTGAATGTCACACACTTCTTGCAGGTGTGTGAATCTCCATTCGCACACTTCAGGGGGTAAACGTGTGAATTTTGTAGAAAAATTCACACCTTTACCCCTCTAAGTTTACGAATGGATATTCACACACCTGCAAGTGTGCGACATTCACACACTGGCGTTTTTCCAGTGCACCGCAAAACACTCGGTAAAACCCCACAACCCAACCCGGCACATGGGCGACTGTTTTTTTTTTTTAAATTGTTAACGACACAAACGCGCAATTGTAATTTCTTGTAGTACGAAGTTTTACCGGATGTGTATCTCAGTCTGATATCAGACTTTAACCGGTCGATGACGTCGCATCTTTCCCAATTATGATACATGGGTATACCTCGGTACACACACGCCCCCGCTACAAACACTCGCCAGGTGGTTGGCTGTTATGGTGTGACATCTGGGGGCCCCTCCCCTCCCCCCGGTGACTAGGACGCGCGGGTCGTACGATGGGTTCAAAGGTGCGCTGCAAGTCGCGCTATGAACAGTGTGAGACAGCAAAACGAGAGACACACGACAGGAGCGACTATTTCTGAACCCGCAAAGAGGCTCATTATTTTTTGCGCATCTAATCTCCTAGGAGAGCAATTGACCTAAGATCGCGAGTGGTCCGAGATGAGGTGAGGGGTACCTCTTGAGGTCGATGAGAAGGTCCGATGAACTCGAGACAGCTGATCGTAACAGAGTCCATCTGAAGTTAGGGTCACTAGAAAAAACCTTCTCCTCTCGGTTTCTCAATTGACGAAAATCCAAAAACGGCTTTCATGTCGATTTGGCTTACTCATACAAATTCCAAAGAAACACCTCTGGACTTAATAATATCCATATCCATCGAATGGCCATATTTTCATTAGTTCTATTTGTATGGCAAACTGTGATTTGTTTCTCGGTTTCTGTACTATGACAATCGTGCGAAATTTACAAGCAGTCTACCATTTCCTTGAATCACAGCTTGCTTTAAACCGATAAAAGTGCGATTAGGCGAGTCTTGGAGAGCCGAGTGGAGTGCGCGGGCTTTGATAATAATCGTCTCAGTTGGAGAGATAGTGGTCAGGCGCCAGTCCCTGTGCCCAGTGTTGCGAGTTCGTGCGGGCGCTGTGGACGGGATGGGTGTGTGCGGATAGTGTTTTGGGTGTGCCGGAACATCCACGAGGGAGGCACGACACTCACAAGAAAAACAGTGCGCAAAGAGTTCCAAAGGTTTGCAACCCAGAAGAATGCGTAGGGGCGCAAATACCGGTAGTTTTGGGAGCTCTGCGGTTGTGGGATGAGATAGATGCGCTTTTACGGTGGATTGCCCCTCGTAATATTTCTCTGCCGATGGACACCGATTCCTCCCCTCCCCCCTTTTTTTTTGGTGGTGCGTCCCGGCCAGTGAGCGCTCGTCCGGCCGTCGGTCGGGGTTGGTATAGACGACAGAAGCCAAGAAGTTCCTCCTGGGCCGAGGAAATCCAGAGCGCCAGAGCCAAAAAGCCTGAGGTGGACGGGAGGGCGCGGGGAAGTGGAAGGGGTGCGGACGGCTATTCAGTAAACGCACCGACATCACTTCGCCATGCGGATGGGACTGGGCTGCGTCCGCGCGGGGACTCGCCACCGGGACGGTCATCGCCGCCGCGGCCGCCACCCTTCCTCCTCCAGCCGGCGCACGGACGCTGCGGACGCGACCCCGGCACCACGTTTGGCAGCGGACGTGGATTCACGGCAGGAGAGGTCGAGTGGCACATTTTTTCTTTATATGTTCACTAACTGAGACGCAGACACCGCCGCCGCCACCGCGCCAGCTCGAGGCGTTTCACTGAATCAATAAAGTCCGGCTGACCGCGGGGAAGGGGTGCAGCGTCTGCCTTAGACTGACCACTACTCAACCCTTCCCTCTCGATTTATTGCACAGTGTCGCCCTCGAGGCGGCGGGGCCGGGGCCGGGGCCCTGGTCGCGCGGCGAGGCAGTCGTTACCGGGCCGGTATAACGTTAGGGCCGGCGCCACACCTCGTCCCCTGGCCCACGCACTCTCAAAAAAATAA